CCCCCCCCCCCCCCCAGCACTTGTCACCTGCCACACACCCCTATGGTCGCAAGCCACGCCCCCACATAGCCGGTCCCCATGCCCAGCAGCAGGGGGCACAGCCTGGCCCCCTTCCACTTTGGCCCCCACCTCCTCCTGTCTCTGTCGTAAGGCTCCAGGCTGCACATGTGCAGTTGGCCTGGAGTGTTACAGACAGACAGAAGTGGTAAGGCTTTTATTATATTAGAATTCCTCAAGCACTGTACTTTTAAAAGCAGCGGGAATTATTTTTTTTTTATCAAAGTCTCCCAATGCTGAGAGAGTAATGGAGTGCCTCAGTATTTTTAAATAGTAATCCTCACATCAATGTTTACGTGGTGCATTAATAAATAAAGCACAGCATGCAACATTTAAATTAGCTACTCAATTTTGCCACACACAAAACTAAATAAAACAACTGCCTTTGGAAAATGACTCAGATGCATGGGATTGCCATAAATCTATAACAACACGAAAGGAATGATGTTTTAGTTTAGTGGTCATGTAGACTTGTGTTTGACTGTTGTTTTTTTTAAATGCACATTTTACATTGTACCTACACTACAGTAAACTACCACAAGAAAAATACAGGCCGTACGGATAGCCTGGAGTACAAGTAAGAATACTATTAGTGATTCTTGCAATTAAAATAGAGCAGTAGGCCTACACAATACATCTCAATATTGTATCATTGCTGAAACATTAAACATGTGCTAAACTTCATATACTATAAATCTCTCCAAAGTGTGAAAAAATACAAACATAAAATCTAACGAGAATGTATTTTACCTTCTAAATGATTGAGCTTGTGATCCCTGTGAGGAGGGCCCTGGGCTGAGATTCTGGAGACCGTCTCCAGCTTGTCCTGGCCCCACAGCTGTGTGGACAGCTCTGGTTTGGGCCCCAGCGAAGGTGCCAGGCAGGACCTGCCAGCAGCTGCCTTCAGCTTCCCAGCTGCTGGGCAGCTCTGACCTAGGGGAAGGGCTCGCTGCGGTGAGGCCAGGCTCCATCTTTCCTGGAGAGCCAGGTCTTGGGATCAGAGCCGCGGAGAGGGTTCAGCTGAGGTTTGCACTGGGGCTGCAGGGGCCTGGCTCTGCCTCAAACAGGCCTCCTGGCAGTGCCCCAGAAGAAGAGCACCAGCTGGGAAAGGCACTTTCTCGCAGCCTAGAAGAAACTCCTGTGTGCTCCGGCTGGCTGGAAGGACCCCCTGGAGCAACATGGGGGCTGCCCATCCAGCAGAAGCTGGTCCCACTCTACCGTACCCACCCAGCATCAGCTCCCAGGACAAGGGTCCTGCTCACCTCCCATAGTGTTAACGATTTTTCCCAGGGGGCCCCTGATTGGTAGGGGCCCATGGGACCCAGGCCCTGTGGGTCCATTAATCCGCCCCTGGTAGTAGGGAATAGTCTATTGTCCCTTTGCAGACTCAGTGTCACTGGGCTCCATGTCTCATTTGCACTGTGTGTACATGGACTCCCAATTTACTCCATTGTAAAGGAGAGAAAAAACATCCCATAAAAATACAAACAAACTTAATAATGCTTTATAAAAGCTGCAAATTTGAAAGGAAAAAAAAAACCCACACAAACTCCTGTTGATTTGCTGTCAAACGTTTAACTTCACCCTAACCTTATTTCTGCTTGAATATTCATTCAAGATACTCTCCAGGAACAGCATCTACTATTATATTTTTCTTATGACGCATATATTACTGACTGCTTAGACCTAAGACTGTGTATGTAGATAATAGCACCGATTTTACAGCCAACAATGTTATCAGCAGGCACTAATGCTTTCTAGAGAGTTCTATCAATATATCTTGAGTCTAAATTGTGTTGCTCCTACTCTCTTTTCCCACACATGCTCTTTAGTAGGTACTCCCGTTTACTCCCATTTACTGGGACAGTGATCAAGGGGCTGCTGGTTTGCCCATGAGCTGTCAATGAGACAGTTTAGTCATCCATGTAGGGGGCTTGACTAAGTGAGCTGGAAGTTTCTTTCAACCATACGATTTTGATTCTTTTATATCAGTGCAAGCCTGCAGGTGGACATCTACTCCACATACAAATGAATGGATTTGCTTGAATTAAAATGAGTTATTTTGTTGACATCTTGCCTTGAACAAGCCCCAGAATTACAAACTGGGTGCATCAACATGAGACATTTACTGCACAGTTGACTAATTAGCTGTACAGTAAACATCTCAGCGTCTACACTTGCACCTTATTGGGCTGTAGTAAACCAATTTACTCCACAACAAAAATAGTACTTGTAAAAACAAGTACTATCCTGCTGCGAATTAAAAAAAAAAAAAGAGCAGTAGTGCTGAAGGGGCTAGCTGGGAAACCAGGGTGCTTCAGTTAAAGGACTGCTTGCTGGCTAGCCCTGTGCTGATGCTGCCTCATACCCCAGCCAGTCCCTCTGCAAGACACTGAGCCAAGGGGAGCCGACTTGGGCTGGCAGGCTGACCCCCAGGACTCCCTGCCAACTGGGGCTGCTTTGACCCAGCTCCGTGCACTGCACATGAATAAACTCCAGAGTTAATTGCTCCCAGGCACACTTCAAACAGTGCAGACAGGAGCAATAAACTCCAAAGCAATAAGCTTCAGAGTTTATTCATGCACAGTAATAGTACACATAGACCTTCTCAGAAAATTGTTTCATGGCTTCCTCCACAGCTGCAGCCATAAGATACAACAGAGGGCACCTTGCACCTACCTCATTAAACACCATTCCTGGAACATACCATAAGCTATACCCCAAAAATCAAAACAGCGAGAACTAACATGTCTTACTGATTCCATCACAGTCTTAATCATGCTTCTGTTATTATCTGGTAGATTTATATTCTTCTTGGAGTCTTCTCTGTGGATCATTGGCTCTAAGCATTCCAAAAACCATGAATTGACCAGGAGGCTGGAGGGGGGGAAATCATGCAGTACATTTCAAAATCTTGTTAATTTTAAAATAATGCGGTGTGAATGTCCATTGTTCATCTTCTGATTTGATCCTTTAAGGTGCACTAAAATCCAAGTGTTTTTAAAAATGACTCTAGTAGTTATGGAGCAAATGAACCAAAACACAACATGACTCCAGGAGTGACAGCTTTAGGAGGGGGGAAAACACACACACATTTACCTACTCCCCCTGCCCAAATTATCACTAATCCATGATAAAATTACCTAAATTCATCATCATCATCCTTAACTGAAAAAAAAGAACTAGCTTAAGCAAGCAACTAAAAAAAGATCCCTCCATGGTTCTTCATATTTGCAAATTAATCCCAGCTGAGTGCCCCTCTCCTTTCTCTTTTAATAGCAAACTCATTCCTGACCCCTTGAGGGTGTCCCTTTACTTGTGCTTTTCAGGCCTTATGTTATGAGGCAAGGATTATCTCTTTTCTATGTTTATGCCATGCCTAGTGGGATGGCACCTAAACCCTACTGCCCTTTCAAATTCACTGCAGGTCTTTGTAAGGGCAGGCTGTAGGCAGTCTAATCTAATGGTTAGGCCACTGAGGGAAGGCACGGGGAGGCAAATTACCAGGTCCAGAGGGAAATCTAGTGACAGAGCCCAAAACAATCTGTCCAGGGCCCAGGAATGAGATGCCAAGTTACCAGGTCCAAGGGACAATCCATAAGGGACAAGCAAAAAATCCAAGGACAGAGCCAAACTAGAGTCAGGAACCCATACCAAAACAGACCAGAGTCAGAACTCTTGACTGACCCAAAATTTGGGTACCACAGCTGGAACTAAATGGATAGGCAGCACTCCAGCAGCCAACCAAGAAGTCAGCCAGTTAATTAGCTGGGTAGAGTTTGTCAGCCAGAGTCAAGGCAGGTGTAGTTGCCTAGGAAATTATCCCAGGCTGGACAGTCTGCTAGGGTCCCTGACAGTCTTTCAGAGAGCTGTTGCTACCTTTGCACACTTTGGCTAGGGACAGAAGTTACACATAAACCAGCTTAAGTGATCAGAAACTGCTTTAAACCTGCAACAGAACAGAAGCTCAATGCACACAAGCCAATTTCAAAATGGCTGAAACTAGTTTAAAATAAACCCGGTTGAATGTAGTATCAGACTTAACTGATTTAGATCAAACTGGTTTATGAAACTTCTGTCCCAGACCCCTTCCTTGTTTAAGTTAAATCAGAGTCCCCTAGCATTCCCAGCATGCTTTCCAGCCCTGGGATGGGTTGTGCTGTCTGCTTCAGAGAGCAGAGCTGGCCCCACCCCTCTTTTCCCTCAAACTTATTGCTGACTGCAACTGTGGACTACAAATCCCAGAGGCACCTGGAAGCAGGAAGAGGAAGTAATGAGCAGCCCTGTCGAGTCCTGCTGTTGTAATTCTGGACTGCAAATATCAGAGACCTCAGGGGCAGCAGAAAGAAGTGAACATGCAACCAGACAGTTGTGCTCTAGCACCCCTGAGCTGCTGGCCTGAGCCACTGCAGGCATGTGGCTGCATTTCCTGAATCAAAGATAAATGTCCATTTACTTCAGTTTCAATTTAATCTATGCATCTTAGACTAACCTGCAAAGATTGAATTGATTCAGCCTCAGACTTTTTGACTGTCTGTACTTAGCAGATGTGACAATTACACATAGAGAGTCAGCCAATTCAACTCTAAAAAAGTCAGCGCTCTGTTCTGTAAAGTATCTAACACACTTCCAGGTATGGCTGAGATGATAAAAATACAAAGCTATATTCTGCTCATTTTGCCTTGAACAACAGTTTATTCCATAAAAAATTTCCTTTATCCCCAATGCCCATGTCCCCAAGAGCAGGAGCATGCGGTTGCTATGGGGAAAAAGCAGTGGCACAAATTTGTGTCGCTGCTTTTTGTCCTGGCGCATGCTCCAGCACATGGGTTAGGGTGGGGAAAAGTGCTCCCGGTGGGGTAGGGAAGGCTGGAACCAGCACCTGGGCTGGCTCCAGCAGCCTTACCTGAGGTCCTGGGGGCCTCCCAGGGCTCCAGTGATGGCTGCCAGCCAGGCTTTGCATGCCCAGATCACTAGATGGTGGCTCTGGCCAGCCAGGCTCCAGTTTCAGCCAGCTCACACTGCTGCCACATGCACTGCCCTGCTTTTTTCTGATACTGGTATTTCCTGGTATCTAAATTTGGCTCCATACTGCAAATATGTCTTTGAGGTGTCATAAAATGCATGTGTACCCTCGTGTGGATGCGGCCAATGGGACAATTTAAGTATTCAGGCATTATTCAATGTGAAGGTGTCAGAATCTGGTCCATCCCGAAGATGAATCAAGCAAAGATTTCATGGAAACAAACTGACCATCCTGCAAGGTACAGTGTCCCTGAAGCAAGTAAGGAAAAGGGTGCTTAGTACCGTATGCAACTAGATCCCAAAAAGAGCCCAGCCCAGCACAAAATGTATTCCAGATATTATCATCATTAAAAATGAGTGCAGCAACTAGAAAAAATTAAGTGGTAGCATCATATATTGTATCCAGTGAGACATTACAGTACCTAGATTTAGAAAAAAAAAAGTTATACTGCAGGCTGTGGAAAAAACAGTGTGTTCAACTCTGTTTGATGGGACTGGGTGAATCAGCAAATTTGAATTTTGTTCCTTTGTGGTTGGGATACATCTGTAAATTCATTCCATTTCTAGGAAAAGCCTAGTTTGCCAACTTCTTGATACAAATACAAGTTCCTTTTTCCCTGAAAATGTAAGTTTTCAAAGCTTAGTATTAAAAAAAAGTCTACCATAGGTGGACATACACACCACTGACCTACTGCATTCAAAGGAAAAACTGGATGAGCATTTGGAAGTTGACTAGGAAAGCAAATGCAGTGTTGCCAACCCCACTGTGTCAAAAATCATGAGACAAACTCTTAAAAATCAAGAGGTTTTGAATGTAAATTATGAGATGCTATTTTTAAGTATGTGCGTGTGTGGAGGGGGGTTATTTGTGAAGGTGTGAGGGGTTGGGGGTCTGGGGGGGAGTTGGAACCCGGGGAGGTGGGGTCCCTGCACACCCTGGGCTACTGTGGGTCCAGAGTGAGGGGCAGCAGCAGGCCTGAGGGGATCTGTGGCTTAGGATTGGGGTGCGCGCACGCGCACGCGCGCACACACACACACACACACACACACACACACACACACGTTAATTTGACTTCGAAATCAGGAGTCTCGTGAGTTTTTCATGAGAGCTGGCATTACTGGGAGTGGTTCCTGCAGAGTGACAGCATCTGACCACAAGAGGAAGTCAGCTAAGACAAACTCAGGGAGAACTTATAGTGTCATTCTCTGCATCAGCCAGTCAGTCCAGCCGGCAGAGCCAGAAATGCCTTTCCTCCCCTCAGATAGTATCTCAAGACTCCTGGAAGATCACTTAGGCTAGGAACAGATGTCACATTTGTGCTGGGACCAGCTGTGCCTGTGTTTGTCCTGGAACAGAAGAGTCATGGGATTGCCATGTACACACATTGCTCTCCCATTCAGGGTTTAGTGAGTGGCTGAATGAACTGTCATTTTTCTGCCATTAATCCAATGATGCAGGACAACCATTCAGACATGCTTCATAATGTGTTAGCACCTCTTATCCTCTGAACCTCTTTAGGGTTTGTCCTGGGACAATAGACACAGACATCTGAACAACTGCACTTCATCTTGGGAGAAAATGGTTTCTGCTGGGACAAAATGACGTCTGTTCATAGCCGTAGAGCCCCTATTAGTCCTCTATGTGCATTGACCTGCTGCATAGAGGTCTTCTGCAATCTCCCTGAATCATAAAGGGGTTTCTGCTCCAGTTTCCAATACATTAATACAAGGGGATGATAAATCTGTGTCCAAGTTTCTCAAGAACTGCCTGCATAGACTGCAGCTAAGTTTGTCTTATTGTATCCATCTAATCAAAAAGTACCTATATATAGAGCTAGCATTTGACTGGTGTTGCTGCTGTCTGTAGCTGCAGCATTGGGAACTTTTTAGGTGTTGTCTGGCACTGGTAAAGCTTCTACTCTTGGCTTGTGAGCTTGTAATAAAGAGTCATTTGTGAGGGGGCATCACAGCTTTCCTAGAGATCAGCATGACTGGAAAGAACTGCACAGTTACAATGTTGGGTTCATGTTCCTCACTCAATTAGCTGCAGCCCCAAAGTTTGGTGTTTTGCCATAATGCAAATTTAAAAAAAAGTGCAATTTACAGCAAATAATTCTGCTGTAACGAAGACTTGTTGAACTACCACTAAATGACAAATTTAAACAGCCTAGCTATACTTATAAAATATTTAGAGGATGCCGAGAGAAAAGGGGAAGTGAAAAAAAGTAACATTTAACCGGGGACATTTTGAAACCACTCGGTTTGGTCCAAGTGCAAATAATATTTGCATTTTTACTAAGTAACACACTTAAGCTTCCTTATGGAAGAAGAGCCATCTAGTGGCAAGTAGTGAGTAGCAAAACTGCAGCATCATTTACAAAATAGAGTCTTTTTAAAGCGTAGCTTTAAATTACACAGCTCAAGACTGTCCAGCATTTATACTGATACACATGAATAATATAGATAAAATAATATGATATAATTATATTAAAATAAAATAATAAAAGATAAAATAAAAATCGAGCCATTGTATAGATACCGGCAGATTAATTTCAAGGAACACAATTGTTTCTAACAATGGCTACCCTCATGAAGTAGCAGAGAAACTTGGTCAAGCAGGTCTTGTAGGAGTTTCTTGTCAACAGCTCTCATATTTTCAGCACTTTTTCCCTTCAGCTGCACTTCTGGACCAGCACTAATAAATAAATGAATATATCTTGTCAGTGCTTTTCTCTTTCTTTCTGGAACATTATGACCAAGAGTTCCAGAACTCCATGAGTATGACAGGTGAGCTAGTTTTCGAGTGGGGCACAGGGTTAATACAAAGCTTACTGAGGGTTCCCCATAATTTCAGTTCTCCTGAGCTCTGGTCTTTAATAAAACGGATGTATCCAGACCTTTGCATATAAACTTGAATTATATGTGACAGGCCGAAGAGCTAGTCCTACTGTCAGAAAAATTAGGTATGCAAACCCTGCAGCAACAAGGGAAAAGATGATAAAGAAAGAAGGAAAACAAAAAAGTCTGGTTACATCAGGGCAGACTGCAGGTAAAATAAGAGCTGCTGCCACCACTCCCATCATTTCCTTGAGGCCCACAAGATGCCCTGCAGCCTAAGGCACAGGATGAGTTTGACCAGATTTGGCCCACATCCCTGGAACTTTGCTAGCCTACGAGGAGGAGGCAGCAGGTGAACGGTATCTGGGTGATGGTTCAGTAGAAGGTAGCCAGCCTATAAGGCTAGGGACAGACATAACACATAAACCGGTTTAAGTGATCAGAAACCAGTTTAAACCTGTAATAGAACATAAATTCAGTGCACATAAACCAGTTTCAAAATGACTGAAACTGGTTTAAGATAAACCTGGTTGAATATAGTAACAGACTTAACTGATTTGGGTCAAATTGTTTTATGCAATGTCTGTCCCAAACCCTTCCTGGTTTAAATTAAATCAGAGTTCCCCAGCATCCCAGATGCTTTGCAACCCTGGGCTGGGCTATGCTGTCTTCTCCAGAGAACAGGGCTGGCCCTGCCTCTCTGCTCCCTGGCCAGAGCTCTGACAGAGACTGCAGTCTGCCTAGCTTTCCCCTGCCCTGGACCCCACTCACCACTTGCTGCTCAAGCAGGGATTTTCCCTCCCACCTCCCACAGCATGGACCCCAGTTCCATAGACCCCAGGCAAGTGGTATGCTAACTAATGCTGAGAGGGTGTGTGTGTGTGTGGGGGGGGGGGGGTCCAATTTCACTGGGACAGGACAAAGGCAGACAGGACAATGTCCATTTAGGCCTTTATGGAGCTAATCAACAGGTCTGCTGGTAATTTCCCCTCCATTCCTTCCTTGGAAAGAGCTGTTTAAGAAAAGCTTGAACTAATGAGAGAGGCTTTTGTTTTGTTGATGGGTTGATAAATGTTGTGTTATCAGCTCCCTGTTGGCTCCCTCACCTGCCAGGTTTGCTGCAGACAGTATGAAGAAGCAGGGAAAGGGAGACTGAAAAGCTCAGTATCATTAACAGATGCATGCATTGCACATCACCCCACTTTTTCTCAGAGTGCTAGTTGGGGGCTGGCAACACTATCATCCCTTGAGCAGCAAGCAGGGAAAAGCCTGAGCTGGTGCAGGCAGGGTGGGGGTTTACACCCCTCCCTAATGAGAGATCTTGTCAGGGCCTAGCCAAGCCCCGCTTCAGCTCAGCACTGTACAAGGGAAGGGAGGGCTGCGCTAGCACTCCCTGGCTTCTAGCTTGAGCCACTGCAGGCATGTGCCTGCATTTCTTCAGTCAAGAGGGAATGTCTGTACAGCTGTAAGCCAGTTAAACCTAGGCAGGTTAGACTAATTTGCAAAGACTGAATCAATTCAGGCTCAGGTTTTTTGAATGTCTGTCCCTACCCTAAAGGTTGAAGCTCTGGGTTAAACCTCCCTTTGTAAAGAGGAAGCAATGCTGGGTTCCTACCCCACTGTGGTTGCCTCCTCTTTCTTCTTTTTCTCTGCCACACTCCTTCCAAGAATAAAGATGAGGAGTCCCACTTTCAGACACAAAGACCTCAGCCCTCTTGTAGCATAAGGCTA